AGATAGATAGAGAGAGAGAGAGAGAGAGAGAGAGAGAGAGAGAGAGAGAGAGAGAGAGTAAGAGGGAAAGAGGAGTGGGGAGATGCATATGTCGTGTCGGTGTATACCGTAGCAGGTACACGGTACACACCTCCCTCTTCCATCGTTTTTGTTACTGGCGACTACGGAACAGACTTCGTATCGTCGTGCGATATAGTGAAAATACGTAGTGTAAATTACAGCGCTATAGCCGCCACACATTACTGCTTAGCGCATCACTTTACACTGTGCCGCCTCAGATGCTGTCCCGATGATTGTACCATTGTAAGGACTAGGCGACACTTAGTTGAATCCGAGTTGCGTTACATCCCCATTACTCTGTGCATTTTCGGGGGAGGAAGGGGGGCTTAAGATGTAACCGACGGTTTTGTGACTTATCTGCCGTCGTAAAGTGGGTTTTTCTCGTAGGCCTTTATAGTTCTCGCCTTTGGTCGACCCGCTGCTGTTATGGTCGCATTGATTTCTGATTTTCTTCAGTCGGGGAGCTTGCAAGGTTGCAGCACTCGCTGATGACAGCCTTTGTATACGAGGAATGCATACACATACACACATTCACACGTACACACGTACACGCTTACACACAAACACGCACGAACGCACGCACGCACGCACGCACGCACGCACGCGCGCAAACGTACAATCACACGCACACGCACACGCACACGCACACGCACACGCACACGCACTCGCACTCGCATACTACACACGGGTCTCATTTATGTAAGAATGACCTGCTACGATGCATCTAATAATTAGGGTATATATGATATATGGTTAAGTGTTCTTTCATAATCGACCAGGTAATTTGTATACTTCAGTATTTATGAAAGCTAATGTGAGCTAGTTGGAACAAGATTTACATTTATGATACACGCTGTGACGTGCCTTATTGCATTAACAGGCTCAATACACGGTTAGGAGAATTGATCAGTACACAATTAGAGGATAACTTCGTTAGACGATGTATCTAACACTCGCGTGATAATTCGATTTTATATTTTAGCGTGCATAACAATCAGGTCGGCTACTAATATAAGCAGGGAATAAAGATAAACTAGGGGGACCGTGATATGTCCCCGTACCGCAAACCAACACATATGAACTCAGAATCGCATTACGTGCATTATCCACAAAACTACACTATCCTTCTCATTACCACATTAGTGCATCTGAAACCGCAATCCTCGATGTAGAGTAATGTAATATTGATAATTAGTCTCCGGAGACGTATAGGAAAGAGTTTGCGGCGCTTGCCTGCACCCAAGCTGTAAACAAAGACCGAGTGCCATGCTGGTCACTAACTCTAGGCTATTGTTGGCTTATACGCTGACTTATTACTGACCACAGAAGAAATCGCCCTGGGCAAAAATCTATTAATGGGCTGACCAGCACGAGCGAAATTCGAGGTTAAGGAGGGATGAATTCGAGAGCTCGTGTAATCACGCATAATAGCAGCGTCCGTGCATGCACGCGTACTGCCCGGGGCTGTTTCGCTACCCTGGGAGGTATGTTAACCTTATGTAACGGCGTTGCTGCGTAAATCTGTGTAAGCCTTTGTTGGCCTTTGTACGAGCATGTCCGAACGAATTGTATCAGCTCAGAATGACTGTCGCAGATATGAAATCCGTGGCAGTTATTGTTGTTGCACAATGCCACCCAAAATTACTCAAGATCGGACTTGGGATAGTAATGAGACCTTTGTGGCGAGAGGTGTTAGCTTGGATGCCGAGGGCAATATTTTCCTTACGCGGTCGGTACGCGGCAACTGCTAGACGAGAATTGCCGGCTCTATGCCACACATGATCACCGTGGCATTACTTAGATTAATATCCGTGTTTGAGGATATGCCGACTCACCTGGGCGGGCACACTAGATATAACGTACGATAGATCTCGTTACATGATTGAGGCCTGCCTATACACCACGGATATCTAACCAAAGGTATAGAATACCCTTTGTTATCGTACGCAATTTTATCCCTTCAAAGCTTTCGTACACATACGATGCTAAAAATGTCAACTGGCCGAAATAATTCCTTATGGCATATCTGCGTTACTGCAGCATTGATGCTATTCTTGTGCTTTGGTGAAGCTAAATAAATCAGCACAATTTGGCACGTACGCATTTGCAATCAGCATCATTATCCCTTGTAAAACTAATTCAGTGTGCATGTGCATGCATGTTTACCACATCCTTATTCTTCTGCTTTCACCGTTGGCTTCCACCACAACCGTGTATGACTATATCTTGTGCGTAATGCTGTGCAGGTACCGATATGTGTATCTCTTCAAACCTGCAAGAACTACAGCTGAGCGTGTACGCATCGTCAAACATGTAAACGTATCTGAACACACACGCACACGCGCGCGCACGCGCACGCAAACGCATACACGCACACACACACACACACACACACACACACACACACACACACACACACACACACACGCACGCACGCACGCACGCACGCACACGCACGCACATATATATAAATGCGAAGCACTGACCTTGAGAAGAACGATGCTGCGGCTGAGGTATTGGCGAGGGTGGCGCACGACCCGGCGGCGGCCGCTGCTGACGGATGCTGCTGCTGCTGCTGCTGCATGGTGGCGTAGCCGCGCTGGCTGGCGGCGCCCGTGAACGTGCTCAGCCCAGAGCTCGTGTGGTACGCCGGGTAGGAGCGCGGCTGCGGAAGCCCGCTCGTGGCGCCACCTGGCTGCTGCTGCTGCTGCTGCTGCTGCTGCTGCTGCTGCTGGTGATGTACGTAGTAGGCGCGCGACGACGGCGCCTGGATTCCAGAACTGCCGGAATGCGGAATCCGCGACAGGTGTCCGCTGAGCGTGTGACTGTAGACCAGGTGCGCACTGCCATGCGAGCCCGCGGCGGCGGCGGCGGCGACGTGCGACACCGGAAGACCCGAATGCGGCGCCACCTGCTGGAGCGAACCGTGCGCCGGTGGCGCCGCCTCGTGCGCGGGACTCGAGTGGAAGCCGGCGTGCGCTTTACTCGGGTGGAGAACGCCGGCCGGCGCGTGCGTCTGCGCGTAGGAGTGTGGCGCGGCCGCGGAGCCGGCGTGCGACTTCACGCCGCCGCCGGCGTACGCTCCACGCACGACGTACGACACTTGTTGTCCCTGCAGCTGAGCCGCCGCAGCGCCACCTGGCGGGCCGGCGAGAGGAGGTATCGGCGTGGAGCAGTGTGGCGGCGGCTGCGCGTGGCCCTGCGAGACGGAGCGAGGCGACGCACCGAGTCCTCCCGACTGAGCGAACAACGAGCGCGTCGCGCCGGTGGCCCGCGGGAGGGCGCTGCTGGTCGCGTGTGCGGCCGACGAGCGAGCGTGCGGCACCGGCAGCCGAGAGTGACTCATGTTGTGCTCGTGTAGTGCCGTCTCAGAGAGGCCATTGGAAGACGAGTTGATTATCTGCAAGATACAAAGGGAGCGCTGCATTTCACTACCGATACTGGCGAGGATTTAATAGCAGTACTAGTTAGCTGCGGAAGCCATTAGGAAGTCGATATTTACATTTCTCTGTTGCTTAGATTACGATAAACCGCGAGAGCAGTGAGAGCGAAAAACGCAGGCGCATGTGGTAGTAGGCCTAATGCAAAACACGCTGGTTAGCATCTAGCAACGTCGAAGCTACCACGATCCGCACACCGGCACTTGAAACGTCTCAATAAAAAAAGGTAAATAAACACGAAATGTATTTACTACCAAAGTCTTAATGTTTCTCTACTCTATTTCGCCTATAATCACTTGTAAATGCCGGTCAAATGCTCATCTGCAACACACAAGTACACCGCACGCTAGCTGCTGCACACTGACACATAAATATATAGTTATAAACTATATATTTATGTGTCAGTGTGCATCAGCTAGTGTGCGGCGGCCAGCGTGTGTTACAGATGAGCATTTGGACGGCATTTACAGGGAATTGTCGGCAATAATAGGTGAAAGAGAGTAGAGAAACATTAAAACTTTGGTAGTAAATAGATTTCGTATTTATTTAGCATTATATTTTATTGAAACGCTCCAAGTGCCTGTGGATCCGCACATAGTAGATCACACTAACGATCACTTACAACAGCAATTTACAATCACACGCAAGTCGCCTCGAAAAAATCTGGCAGTTGTAACTCCATTCGTTTACAGCATAAAGCAGGTAGACAACAGGGACCCGTGTCTTAACACTGATGCTGAGTGTTTCCATCCAAACTTTTGGGATGAATATATAGCTCCGTAAAACACGCATGAGAGCGGCAATTATAGCAGTCAGCCAGTGAGCCTCTGTTGAAGAATGCCTAGTTTTCTTCATTTCTCCGTGATTGAGGAAAACTTGAGACTAATGCAATATAAAAGAGCGAAAGACTCGAGTACAAAATGGAAACTCTTCTACGTTGGCAATATGAAATGGCACTGACGCGACCAGTCAGCGTATGATGGCAGGAGTGGGCAATTTCAAAATATCTGCAGATGCCCGATTGGCAAATAACGTCGAATGTTTCAGGTTGGCTGATATTGCCAAAATGCATCCAAGTCACATGTTTACCTCGTGCTCGAAAAGGTATACGGTTTGCAACCAATAGCCTATAAGTGTATGATATAACTGATTGAGGTGCTGCGATAGGTTGACAGAGCTGCTGCCGCGATAGGTCACGTAGCATGCATCCACACACGAACTCACGTCACCTACATGCGATTATACAACAGATTAATTGATATACGCGCGTACAAAACATCTCTGCTAACGTTTGCACCTAACGCGAGTTCATCCAATCTAAATCCACTCAGTGCCGCCACTTTGTCAGAGCAATGAATAGGTGATACGCTGCAATTCGGAGCTACTTCGCACCGCTTACGCGCGCGTAATAACAACCGCAGGGCCGCAATTTCATGATGGCAACTGATGACCAGCGTGGTCGTGGATACTTGACCGCCCGCAGGCACTCAACCGCCTACCCGCAGAGTCCATGCCTTATCGCGCACATCTCACGCTGTCTCTCACGCCAGCTCGCACGCGCACTTCAGCACGCGAGCCAGGTACGGCAACAACAGGGCATAGCTGCTGTTGTAAGCTGCTGTTGTAAGCATCTCACGATAGCGTGATAGCGTATAAAGGTCTTACCATACGCTTTATACGCTTCTTTATACGCTCTTGATAGCGTGCATAGAGCAAGTATTTCTCAGAAAGGTCGAACAACTACGACAGGATGCCAACTCACCGACTCGTACACTCCAATAGGCCAATAGACATAGTTCTCCATCGCAAACATATAACCATGCAGCTATGAGGTAATTACCAACATCCTCGAATGCATTTCGACCACTAGCATATATGCTTCGATCAACTATACTGTTTCTGCGACTGGTTCCACAGTCGCAAAACGTTGGTACCGCAGTAAAAGCACAATCAACTTTTATTCACGACGCAAGGCAACAATTCACGAGCACCTTCGGCAACACGTTCACTCTTTCCTTGCGATTCGGCATCTACTAAACCGCAACGTTACAGACGAGGCGACGGCACCGTGACGCTACGTGGCTCACACACGCACACACACACACACACACACACACACACACACACACACACACACACACACACACACACACACACACACACACACACACACACACACACACACAC